CCCCCCTGCAAGGGCGTGCTGAATAGTGCGGTCTGCAGTGTATTCTACGCCATAATATTGAGTGTGTGGCGGTTTGGCGCTACGGCTGTATGCATTTGCGTATCATATTATTTTAGAATGTGGCGCTAACATTGGGCTTCGTGTTGCAGTCGTTTCCAATTATGGCCTTTCCTTGAGATGTCGTCCTGAAAAGGAAGAAAGCGAACGATTATGCAGAGGGCGTGCTCTATATGCATTTTAATCTTCTTGGTGTTGGGCGTATTAATATAAATATTTGTGTATTTTTGTAGTGTGCTTATGGTTTTGAAGGAGAGGGGTTTAATTTATTGCTCTTTGGTTTTAAAGTTTTGCGTTTTGTTTGTGCTCATGGGCTAGAGCTTATGGCGTTAAGGTCTTATTTATTGCGCTCTATTTTCATAGTTTTGCGGCGGAACCGCTTATCACCCAACCAAATATTGTTTCTTGCGCTATTACATTATCTTGTATTTTTCGGGCTCCGGGTTGGAGAATTTGTGGAAGTATGTCGCTTCCAATGACCAGATCTATGGGTGCTGGTTTGCTGAAATGGGGGTCAGCTAGCTCATGGGCATTGAACTCTTTGATAAATTCAGGACTTACGTGGGAAGTCGCTAAGTGCTCCGTTAATTGCTTGAGTATGACAGCTTTTGTAGTTATCTTCCACTTTGCCTTGCGGGGAGTTATATTTAGTGCACATGCGTTCTTAGTGCGTTTTAAGTTACATCCACCAATTGTAAATCCTTCGGTTGGGAGCTTCAACCTCTTTTGAGCTGCTGACGAAATAAAGGTTCGCTGGGACCCTTGGTCTAGCAATGCTCTGAGTTGAAACTGTTCTCCTCGGTGCTCTATTGTCACTATTGCAGTTGGGAGGAGAACTTCACTTTCATTGGCAATTCGGAGCGAATTAACATACGCGGAGATTGAGCAGGTGGGTTGCTTATCCGACTTGTGGCTTGATAACTCTTGGGGGCAATCTTTGGTGATCGCGTGCGCTATGCTGTGTTGCGCTATTATTTTTTGAGTTTGCGTATTGGTTGGGTGGTGATCATAGGGGATCACTTGCTCTTTTTTTGTGGGGCTGTGGTCTTTTGGATATGACCACAGCTTTCTTTTATTTGTCGATCGGGGTTGATCGATTTCTTAAGATTTTCTTTTATACCAGCATTTTGAGAATGACCTCTGGATGTGTGTACATGCAGTAGGGAGTTATGTCTTTTCTGACAATACACTCATGCAAATTGTGAGTTGCATTTTGCCAACCTATGATTGAAAGCAAGGCAGTTGGAACACAATTTATGCGTTTTAACAAAGTTTATGCGCTTTTGTGTTGAGAATTTTTTAAATATGGGGCATCTCTTCATCGGATGTACCCCACATCGTCGCATAAATAACAGGAAAACACCGCATTGGAATTTGTATGAAAAGCTTTTGTTTTACTGTGGGATTTTATTAGAGCAGAAGTCTTGGTTACGTGTTTTGGGAATTTCATTTCTACCCTTTCTAACACGTGAAATCTGGACGTTAGGAATTCGTCCATTTGAGACCATGAGGGAAGGTCTTTTCTGCAGGGCAGTGATTGCTCCCAAAATGTCCGGGTTTCTCTGGGCAATTTTGATACGCAAATATGTACGAGGATGGGGCCCCAACTGTCTGTCAAAACCCTGTGGGCATTTAAAATGGACAGACATGTTTTTATTTTGCTTTGGAGATTAATGATCTGTTCACTATTTTCTTCGTGAACACTAGGCAGATTCATTAAAACTTGGATTTGGTTATCCACTAATATGCGTTTATTGTCATAACGTTCGCTTAATGCTTGCCATGCCAGATCAAAATTCTCGTCGCTAAGAGGCAACTGCTTGACGATTTGACCGGCTTGTCCTTTTGTTTTATACCGGAGGTGGTATAATTTCTGAGCGGATGATAATTGGGGGTGGTTTATGTAGACGGCTGTAAACATATCTCGGAAAGATTGCCATTCTTCATAACCACCGTGGAAAATCTCTGTATCACATGGCGGGAGATGCAGATGCATGTGAGGATTTTCCTCTATGTGTGAATTCTGTGCTTCTCGGGAGTGAGAGCTTGGGGGACTTATAGCTCGGATCAATTTGAGTTGAACTAAGATCTTCGCTTTAGTCATTTCATAAGTATCAATACTAAATTGATACTTGCCTTCCGCCAACGCCAAAAAATTATCTGGAAGGTATTCATCATCCTTTAAAAAAAGTGAGTCATATGCGGATTGTAACCGTGCCCAGAGATTGTCAATAGTTTTTTCTTTTATTTCGAGGGCCGACTCTGTGAATCCCTCTATGGGAGAAGAGGTGAGTCTGGCACATTATCTCATGAAGCCATCATTTCCAAAGTCAACAGTCAACGCGCGCACACAGGAAAACGGCCACCACAGAATCATATCCCGAACGTAATTAACCTATATATGTACTTAACCATAATTTAATTTTTCAAATAAAACATTTATTACGTTTTAACCAGATCGCGAGTGTTTTCACTTACTTAAAACGAACAAGAAGAACCTTTTCAAAGTTTCAGCTAGATTTTCAACTTTTAATTCGGATTTTGAAGAATTTTTTTGAGTATGCAGTTTGATAGCCCATTATTTGCTAAAGAGTCGTGTTGATTTTTATTTTTTTTTTTTCTCTTGTAGACATTTGGTTAGGTGTCGGTTGTCGAACGAAGAAGCTGCTGCAAAAAAACAAAGCTTGTTAAGATTTATTAGGAAAATAATTGAAAATCTGTTCTACTTACAAGATTTAGTAACAGATAAAAATGGAAGTTAAAAAACGTCATTTTTTGCACAAAAAACGTCCGAACATCAACAAGATACAAAAAACGTCCAAATGACGTTAAAAATGGCAACCTGGCAACGCTGGCTATGACATGCACAGAATTGTTTGTCTCAGTGCATAGTTATTTAAAAAAAAAAGTTTGATGCCAACCGGGATTTTTGAGTGGATATATAATTCATGTGAATTATAATTTGAAAGTGTATATTTAGCCAAGGAAAAAGCAAAGCAGTATACTTCCAGCAGACATTGACCTGGGTTTTCGTTGCCTGTTCCTTTATCATCGTTGTATTTTAGAAAATTCTTACCACCATATACATATGTATTATTTACTTTAGTAACTAACTTATGTAAATATGTACGTATTTTTTATGTTTAATATATGCAAATAAAATAAGAAAGTAAACACAACAAACATCGAGTAAATTTTAATTTGTGTCAAACTGAAACTTTTTTTCCAATAATAAACGGTTAGCTGATTCAAGTCTACAGCAAGTTCACAAAATTAATTGAATACTTGTATCAACCAAAGCATTGTTTATATTTGCTCAACAATGACTTTATTCAACTAACAATATTGTCCAATCAAGGTAGTCGTTTTGTAATTATTAACAAATATACATTTGTCCCAACTAGAAGTCTTAAGTAAATTGCAGACTTTCGTGAACTATATATTTATTTCGCCATATCCAACTATGCCACTTGATCACTATAACCAAATCTCTGTTATTATAACTAAACCTTTTTCTGGGTGAAGCAGAAATTAGCTAGCAGAAGTAGAAGAAGAATAAGTGTCAAAAGCCGCCATTTGTTGAATTGGTTTAGCACAAACTAAAGTAAAATGAGTGGAAATCAAAATATTAATGATGTACTGGACTGTGTAAGTGCGTGTGTGTAAAGCAAAGCGTTTAAAAATGATTTATAAATAGTAAAATGTTTACAGCAGAATGTCAAAACAGTGCAACAGCTGTTCATTTGCAAGTTTTTGCTAGTTTTGTGTTCATTAACTTTTTCTGCTAGTTTTCTCTTCTTCTCAAT